TGAGTGTGCTGTGCCAGGGTAGAAGATATCTAAGAGGAGGAAAAATACTCTGCCTCAAGAATCTTCAGTCTGTGGGTTTTGAAAAGGCAAATCAACAACCAGGAGCTGCTGCAGTGAAAATGACCCTGGTGCTGTGAAAGCCAAGCTGAGCGGTACCAGATCGCCTCTTTTTCTAAGGACAGTCAGAAATGTTTTCTGCTGACTTGTGAGGAGCGGCTCCTAGGGGTTTCTCAGAGTCTACACATGTCCTTGTCCTGTATCATTGCTCCCCTCAAAAAGGAAATCAAATAAAGCAGTTGCCATTGAATGGATTCTAACTTTGAGTAACCCATGCGTGTTAGAGTAGAACTGTGCTCTGTAGAGTTTCTAGTGGCTATTTTGAAAAGTATATCCCTCAGCCTTTGTTCTGTGATGCCCCTCAGTGGACGTGAATATTCTGCTATTGGGTTAGCTGACATAGTAACCATTTACACCATCCAAGTATTCCTTATTGCTCCCATATGAAAGTAATAATAATAATAATAATAATAATAATAATAATAATAATGACAATAACAATATCTGTGAGGGTGGTGCAGGCCCAGACACTAATATTCTAAACTGTCACTATGAGCCAAAACAAACCTGAATGACAATAACAATAGTAATATAAATGTATGTTTTCTTGGTTTACCTCAAAACTTTGACCATGGTCATTTCTTTGATTAATTGTATGGATTTCTTGCTCATGTAATCTCTTTTAAGGCAGTTCTTTTTAGACTAACAGATAAGTACTGTTATCTGAGTATTGTACCTGTAGCCCATCAGACCAGTGTAATCCACAAACATCCACTAGCAACTTCTTCCATGGGTGCTGTGACAATGCACTAATCAAGGATGAAATCGCCATAGATGTATAGATGTGTGTGTGTGTGTGTAGAAATGGCTTGAGGCTCATATGAAGAGACTACAAAGATGACTTAACAGCTGATGAAAGAGGGATACATTAGATTCAGAACGGGCAAATAACTGGAAATCTATTTTGTTCTTTTCCAAATTACCCTAGAGCTAACACTCTGGGTGATCCCTATGACTTAACTGTGACTGACAGCCGAAATAAGACAACCACTGTCAATTATGTACATGACACATTGTCAAACCCACACGGCTGGATGGCTCTTCTCTTGGATCAAGAGACCTACACGCTGCGATTCGCAAGCTCTCGGATCAGCCAATCTCTGCAGGTAAACCCAGGAATTCATTTCACTGCTTTATCTCATCCCGACGTTCTTGTCTTCCCTTCTGTGAAACATCATATCCTGTGAAGTAGCATCTTCTGGTATTGTTGGGGAAAATTCTGCAAAAGCATTTTGACCAGATAAATATAGCCTGCAATACTGGTTGTGTCTGTAGTTTTGAATATTTTAGAATTTGCTTGAATCTCACTCTGAATACAGAACAATTCTGCCTGAAATTTTCGTTTTATTGATGCAATAAAAAAATTCTTAAAAATTCACTAGAATGATACTCTTTCTTATGGGTTGAGAATTAACTTACCCCAGAGAGATGTGTTTGTAGTCCCCCATCTTCAAAATGGCTTGGCAGAAGGCATTTCTATATTGCATACTGCCACCTTGTGGTCAAATGTTAGCTTGATTAACTTCTAAGTGACGTTCTGTTTGTCTTGGGGCCTGAGTTGGGTTAAAGGAGTCATATGTTTGGTGGAAGCAAAGATTGGATTATTTGCCAGAAAAGGGATGCATTTTATGCAAAAATAGCAAACTGTTCCGTTTCCTCAAGCTTCTTTTCTGCTTAATACATGTCTGACTTCCCTTTAAGGGTCATGAGGGCAATGTTTACAGAGTTAGTTGTTGTTATTATGTATTCTGGAATCAGAACCAACTCTTAGCTGACCCTGTGGTGGCTGTAAATTACACAGGAGGAGACTGCTCAACTTGCTTCCATGGAGTATCCAGTGGATTCAAACCTTGTGCCTTTGGGTTGGCAGTGCAGTGCCTTACCACTAGGCCTCCAGGGAGAAGCAGTGGCTGCTTTTGGTATATTGTAGTCCTAGGGGATTCACAGCAGAATCTCTCCATCCTGTATCCATGACTGGAGCAAAAACGATGTGTCTTTCCTTCCCTTTCTTGAGATTTCAATGATGACGCTCTGTAGAATTACCCTAAATTGAAGTACAAGTAATAGTGACTCTGGAGTGGACAAACAGGATTTATATCGTGGCCATACAGTCTCCAGCTTTGAAATACAAGACAACTTACTGACCACTGTTTGCTTTCCACATCTGAAAAATGGAGCAATAAGAGTAACAATTTCAGAGAGTCTTTCTGATATTGAATGAATTATAAAAATAAACATGTGCTAAATGCTTTAACAGTATTAACTCTACTCGTTATAAAATTATTACACTTCTTCTACTGCTTGCCTTTAAAAGTTTTGGGGAAAAGTCTGGAAAGGAATTCTTGCCATTTTCTTCAAGCTGTGTGACCTAAAAGAAGTCCTTTCACTTATCTTGGTCTTGGTTAAGTTGGCCTAGTAAGAAAAGAGTTGCACTGTCAACTCAAAGATGTTGTTGTTGCTGTTGTAGTTAGGTGCCATCGAGTCATGGGTAACTCATAGCGACCCTATGAACGAAAGTCCTTGACACTTGTGTGCGTGACTTTCATCCTTTCTCCAGGTTCATAGGGTTTCGGAGGCAAGCTATTTATGGAAGTGGATGCCACTCCTGCTTCCAAGCTTGTTTTAACTAGGGAGCGCCACCAAACACTGTCCATCATGGGTAACTGTTATCGCATTTGACACATCAGTGTCACAGTGTTCAGCTTCACAGCCACCACAAGTTGTCTCTGCACAGCAAGTGGACACACCAGGGCTATATGACCTAGAAGAATGTTTGACCAACAACAATTTAAAACAGGCCTTAGGGCCGCGGATTAGAATCACCGACCTTTGACTCAGTAGCATCACTTTTGGTCCACTAGGCCAACTGGTCTCTCTCTGTGTTGTTAAGTGTCATTGAGTTGTAGGCGACTTATAGGTGGTTAAAATTCTTCTGCTGCTCTAAGGGAGAAAGGTGGGCAGTCTCCTCCTGCGTGATTTACAGTCTCCAGAAACTTGATGGAAAGTCAACTATCAATAGGTTCCAACTTGATAACAATAAAGTGGATTTCAGTTAAGGTTGTTACACAAGATAATCTTCATAATGGCTTTCAGGCTTTATCTCATTCTGTGAATTTGTAGCTCTAATGATGTAAAGTGTTTTAAGAGTAGATTGAAATAGATCCATTTGCCACCAAAAAATGAACAATTTGGGTCTGAACTGCCTGTTTTTAAATTCTCCATCAGCATTCTTTCTAGGTCTTCTTGAGAAAGCCTTTGTTACTAAATAAGCATTTTTATTTTCTTCTCATCCTGGAAGTTCTCGGCAACATTTGATAACTTTGCTCCTGGAAATTACCTCCTGCTGGTGCACGCAGACATGCCACCCTACCCTGACATCCTCATAAGATGTGGACAACATGTGGGCCAACCCCTTGGTTCTTTTCCATCACCTGGTCTGAACAAAAGCTGTGACTGGTTCTTCAATAGTCACTTGAGACAACTCACCTACCTAGGTAAGTGAAATTAAGTGAATGTTCTGAGGTTATTTAGTCAGAAGCCACTATTCACTCTGTTCCCAACTTCTGTACTTCAGAGTAATAAGAAACTAAAATGGTCAGCTGGGTGTATTGTTCAGTGCATGGGCTCTGAAATGAGACGGCTCACATTTAAATCCCAGTTCTAATGCTTAGCAGTCATGGGATACTGTAAAGGCATTATCTTTCTACCCTCAACATCCTCATCTGTAAAGAGGGATACTCATGGCACCTATCTCAAGGGACAGAAAATTAAACGAAAGCTAACATGTGAAGCACTTTAGCCAAGTTCAGATCTCACATCTAGTGGTTAGTAAAGACTTGGCACTATGAATAGTTTAAATTTGCTTTGTTGTTGTTGATTGCCTCCGAGTTGGGCATGACTCATAGCAACCCTATGAATAAAAGGCCTGAAGCCTTTCTATAACTATCGACATTTATCAACGTTCACAGAGTTTCCAGAGGCATGTGGTTTAGGAAGTTGATGCTACTTAGGACAGTGTTATATTTGTGTTTGTATAGTGAAGGAACAGTAACTACACATGGATGGACAGGATGGGGTCACAGGTATAAGGCAGAACAGTGATAATAAGGTGACAAACACCCACAGAGGCTGTGAGAAAGAGGATCTGCTAAAATAAGTCTCTACAATGGCAACTGGTTTTAATTCCTGGGCAAATTTAGGGGACATCATCTTACAACAAGGGAGCTCTGGTGGCCTTGTGGTAAGGAGTTGTCCTCCCAACCAAAGGCACATGATTCTTAGCACCAGATTCTTTGAAGAAGAAAAATGGGCAAGCTCCTCAGATGCAACTTACATCTTCTGAAAAATCTGCTGGGGGGTCAGCTCTGAGTCAGTTATGACTCAACAGTATACCACAACAACAATATTTTGGATAAAATCCTGGTCCTTTTCACAGCCAGATTCGGCTGCAAGGATTTATAGAGCTGTGGAATTGTCTTGAGTCTCTTCTCACTTTTAAGTATGTGGTGGTCTAGTGCTAAGAAACTGTGCTGCAGTCCCAAAGGCATGTGGTTGAAATTCATCAGCTGCTCCATGCAAAAAAGATAGGCCATTTCCTCCAGAGTGCAAATCTGCTGGAGGATCAGTTATAAGTTGGTTCTTATGCCGTAACACACAACAACAATAGCAAGCCATATGGTATTGTAATATGACGTACCATTAGCTCTGGGACTGTTAAACATCAAAAGCCAGAGTGCAGAGCCTGATATTTTTAAAGTATTATCTGAATGGATTACTATATGTTATATTGGTACTGAATGATACCATTAAAATTTTATTTCTGATTTGATTTATCTACAATTTTAACCTTAGACTCTAAACACTAGGGATGAACATGTTTTCCTGAGACTAGACTAGACTTTAACTGTGGATACTCTCTCTCTCTCTCTCTGTGTGTGTTTAACAGCATGCTGTTTGTGGACATCTAGGTGCACAGGCTGAGACAAAAAAAAAAAAAAAGCAAACACCAAAAAACGGTGTCAGCCCAGAGTGCGAAAGGGGCAGGGCTTTTATAGTCTCTAGTCAACAGGAAATTCCATTTGATCCCGTGTGTTATTTAGGCCCCAGGCCCCTCTTCCAGCCTCTAGGCCTATGTGTCCTCCATCCAGCTCTCTTCCTGCTTCTAGTATCTGACCCATGCTGCTAAGGCAAGTGGCCTTGTGCCTTGGGGCTGGGCTTTAGGAGGCCAGAGGTGATTCAATCCCTCAGGCCTGAAAGCTTGAGGAAAGGCTTGCATTCCCACCTCTTTGGTTATGGGGACAGTAAAAAAAAAAAAAAAGGAGGTAATGGGGAGACTTTCTCACTCGCTGTTTGTTTCAGGGTGACATAGGGGGAGTTGAGGTCACCTTTAAAAGAAAAAAAAAATTGTGATAACCCTAGGAGACAGGTTGGTATCCATTTCATCCTTGCAGTAAAAGCATCATCAGGACTATGCTTGAAATATATTGTGGAACAAACATTTTTTTAAAGCTCTTTGTTGTGTTTATGGAACAAATTTTTAATTTCAGATTGCTCTTCTCCTATACTTACCATGATTCTGAAGAATCTTTCTTCTCCTTTGGTCACATTGTGGTCAGTAACCAAGTTGAACATTTATATAAGCCAACAAAGATAAAGGAAAATTTGTAGGGGGAAGAAAAAGCAAAATACATGATTTTATAAATTTTATATACCTTTTGTTATCATAATCTATTAAGCTGATAGTTAACTATACTATTATTGATGTCCATACATATATGGTGAAAATATTCTCTTCCCATGCAATTTACTACCTCTGAAGACCAACTGGAGAGTCAGCTATGCTTTGATCTGACTTGAGGGTATACAACGACCACAACAATATACACACAGAGTCACTGTACCAAAAAGAATTGGCTGTACAGAAATATTTCAGGAAGTACTATATGATCAAGGACCAATGATAATGAAGGAAGAAATTCAAGCTGTACTGAAGGCTTGGCAAAAAATAAGGTCCCAGGAAACGAAGGGATACCAATTGAAATGTTTCAAATGACAGATGCAGCCCTGGAAATGTTCAGCAGTCTATGCCAGGAAATTTGGAGGACAGCTTCCTGGCCAACTGACTGAGAGAGATCAATGTTTCTTCCTACTCCCAAGAAAGGTGATCCAATAGAAATGATTGAACAGTATCATTAATAATGCACGCCAGGAAAATTCTAATGAATATCACGCAAAAATGGCTAGAACAGCACATTAAAAAACATCACATACAATAGCAGTCATTCAAGCTGGATTTAGAAGAGGCTGTGGAACCAGATATCATTGCTAGTTTCAGATGGATTCTGGCTCAAAGTAAAAAAATATCAGAAGCACATTTATCTTTGTGCTTTGTTGACTGTGCATTTGACTTGATTGTGCTTGTGTGAAATCTATACCTAGACCAAGAGGCTGCAGAGTTGTATCCTTTCCCCATATCTATTTTATTTATAAGATGAGTAAATTGTTTGAGAATCTGGACTTTATGAAGAAAAGTGTGTCATTCATCATCAATAACCTTCATTATGCAGAGGACATAACCTTTCTTGCTGTAAGTGAGGAATATTTGAAGCACTAGCTTTAGAACGTAAAACACTGTAGCCTTATTATGGATTTTACCTCAATATGAAGTTAACAAAAATCCTTGCCAATGGACCAATAGGCACAATCATGATGGATGGAAAAAGGATTGAGACTGTTAACAACTTCACCTTACTTGGATCCACAATCAATACCAGCAGTCAGGAGATCAGGAGACATATTGCACTGAAAAAGTCTGTAGTCTGGGACTTCTCCAGATTATTGAGGAGAAATGATGTTAGTTTGAGGACAAGAGTGAACCTGATCTAGGCCAGATAAGGTCTTTTTAGTCACTTGCTGTGCATCTGAAACTGGACAATGAATAAAAAGAACAGAAGAATTGATATCTTTGAGCATGCTGTTGGAGAAGAGTGCTGAATAAACCAGAAATTGCCAAAAGAACAAACATATATATCTTGAGAAAGGAGAAATCAGACTGCTCCTTCGAGGCAAAGATGATGAAGTTTCATCTGACATAATTTGGTCATGTTGCTAAGAGAGGGTATTCCTTGGAGAGGGCCCTTATGCTTGAGAAGTTGGAGGGACAGTGAAGGAGAGAAAGGCCCTTATCCACGTGGGTTGACACGGTAACTTCCTCAAGCCGTGAGGCTCAAGACTGCTGCAAGAACATTTTGGAAGCTGTCCTGAGTGAGTATATCTTGCTGCCAACGTGAATAAGAGCCTTTTAACTTCCCTAGTATGTGTGGTCTGTGAGTTATCACAGTGGATTTTGGACCCAGTAAAGCAGTGAGATTGGTGTTGGAGTGAATAGAAAAAGGTGGCAGAGTGAGAGGGGCATGTCTAACTCACAGAAATTAGTTTTGTGATGTGGATATTGTTGACAGGGACAGTTCCCCTTTGTGGAGCTGGTAAAGGTCACAATGATCATCTCCATGTGGTCCTTGCTCTTTTTACACGTTCCCATCCCAACACAAGCGAGGACATGAGGACAAAGGAGGAGCAATGGTCTAGACTACTCCTTGATGATAATAACCAACAGTTCCATTAGGTATTATAGCTTTAGTTATAGCTTTGAATATCATCTGTGTAAAGATTACAGTATTACTAGCAGGCTTCTGTTTAGGTTATCATGCTTTCTCTGGATCTGACACCACTCCAAATGCTAAGGTGGCAGTGATATAGTTGTCGTAGCTGTTATCTTAGGGACTTAGTACTGTTGTAGCAAAACTACCACAAGTGAGTGGCTGTAAAGAACAGATAAACAAATCTCACAGTTCAGGAGGCTAGAAGCCCAAATTCAGAGCATGACTTCCCTAGCTTATTTTATTTTCTAATAGTCAACAATATTTAGAGTGGCAGGGTTTATAGCTGCCGACACTACCTGAGTCATCTGCTAGTATTTGTCTTCCTCTATGATGCCGCCTGTCTATCTGATCCACTCTTCTTATACTTCAGAAGCAAATAGACTTAGGACATGCCATATCCTGATATAGCCCTATCTATAAAGACAATTCAAGAAAGGTGTGTATCAGGCCTGTATCCTTTCTCTGTATTTGTTCAATCTCTGTGCTGAGTAAAGCATTCAGGACACTGGACTTTCTGAGGAAGTATATAACATCGGGACCAACAACTTGTGTTATGCAAATGACAAAACCTTGCTTGCTAAAAGTAAAGAGGACTTTAAATGCTTGCTGGAGAAGGCCAAAGACTACAGCCTTTAATATAGAATACAGCTCAATATTAAGAAAACAAAAATCCTTCTCGGTGAGCGAATAGAAAACAACCATCATAATGTTGTTGTTATGTGCTGTTGAGTCGTTTGCAACTCATAGCGACCCTATGTACAACAGCCCTAAACCGTGCTCTATCCTGTGCCAATAGCATTGCCTCTGACACACCCATCCCGATTACCCCAGTC